CCCTCTAAGGGAAAAGTTTAATTTTTTTTATAATGACATGAATGCAGTTACCCTTCTGTAACGCTAAATGGAGTATTCAAACAACAAAATAAGCTTTTCCTGTTGTAATCAGTATTGATCTGTCTTGCGAATAATGGCTTCTTGCCAAAAAAAGACGAATAAGCGAGTTTCTGTGGTTTTAGTACGCAAATTAAGCGCCAGAAGGAAGGTATCAGGAAAAGCTTATTTTGTTGTTGAATACTCCATTTAGCGTTACAGAAGGGTAACTGCATTCATGTCATCATAAAAAAATTTAAACTCTTCCCTTAGAGAGCACAATAATTTCTACCAAGTAATGTAATCTGCTTACACTGTCCAAAGTATCGAGTTTCATTGGAGATATACAGTCGAAAAACTATCACTCAAGGGTCAGTGTCGTATATTACACGCCCGTTCTGATTTAGGCGATAGAAATACTGTCCTGTATCGGCGGATTCCTTGAAGGTAAATAAAATACAATCTCATTGAAAATCTGTGTTAAGGGCAACTATGAACAAGTTGTGGCGAGTTTTGATGAGATGAATTTGAAGCAGAATCTTCTGAGAGGAATTTATGCATTCGGTTTCGAAAAGCCGTCTGCCATCCAGCAGCGTGCAATTGTGCCTTGCACTACTGGTTCGTTGTTTTTTTTTTCAAAACCTTGAATTTCACAAGCATGATCTATTTCTTTTGTTTCATTCCCACTAAATTTCCACCAGTACCCGACTGATAATGATTTTCAGGTCGTGACGTCATTGCACAGGCTCAGTCTGGTACAGGAAAAACAGCTACTTTTTCCATCTCCATTCTTCAGCGCATAGACGAAAATGAACCCAGTGTCCAGGCTCTCGTCATGGCTCCCACTCGTGAATTGGCTCAGCAGGTTTGAATTAGTGATCTGTTGTCATCAGGGCGCCTCTTACCGCTGGGTAATGTTTCCGGAAAATACAACTTTCAAAGTTTACTCCTCTGCTACAAACCCCTCCCTCTTTCCCATCTATCCATTATCTTGCCAACATTTCCCAGCTTCCTATCACATTTTGCAAAATTTGTCGACAATTTTCAAGTTTTTCCCCCGAAATTTTGCCATCGAGCGAGGGCGGGGGACGCTACCAACCACCCGTTAATCTCAACTTTGGAAACAATAGTTGTACAGTAGTTCTGATGCGCCACCAATCAAGGCTGGGGGAAGACAAGAATCGAAAATTTTCGGTTAGCGCAGCAAAACATCTCTCAAAGGCTAATAAGGGCTCCTTCTCCCAGCAACGAGCAGATACAACCCCTTCCCCCTTGGGATTTTCCCAACGATGTGGGTAGGGAACGTGTTACAGGAAAAATCTGCATTCAAAAAAATCTCGGGTCGATCCGCCCTCTAGATCAAATGCTCGAGATTCCTCAACGTACGCCATGCCCTTGTTTATGCACATGTTCCCAAAGGGTAAGGAAAAGGTGGAAGAGTGTGTACTACGCTGGTCACGTATGCTGTTCATATTTTGGAACGAATGGGTTATGTCCCTAGAGGGGCTCTCTTTTCTTCTTTTCGCCTTCTCCAAGGGAACTTTCGCTGTCAGCCTCTAGCATCTTCGTTGTGAGCTCGCTTGACTAATTGGCTCGTTTTTCAGATCCAGAAAGTTATGTGCGCTCTCGGAGACTACATGAATATCAAAGTGCACGCCTGCATTGGAGGAACAAGTATTCGCGATGATCAGCGCAAGTTGGAGAGTGGAGTGCATGTCGTTGTGGGAACCCCCGGTCGTGTAAACGATATGATCAATCGCAATGTACTACGTAAGGGAATCATCCGAAATTAAATATTCACGTCTACTCTTACTTTTTTTGGCATTGTTCATGCGCAGCGTCGAGCTGGCTAATGGCGGAATCGGGACGATCCACGGAAAAAAAATTGGGAACGAATCGATTTCGCCCATACTTCACACGGGCGGGATCGGCACGATCAATTCTTATCTTTTCGGCGAACTCTTCCCCATTTCCCTGATCTAGCGGTTCTCCTAAAACCCACGGAGGGTTCAGTATATAATCAATCTTTATCTAGTCTTTGTTAATCGATTTTCATGATCCTTGGGAGTTTCCAAGTTCAATGATTCTCACATTATCCGATTCTTGCGGATATTTCCTTTCCGCATATTCGTCGCTGAGTGTTAGTGCCCTTCCTCTCTGTTTTGCGGAAGCATGCTACAGTCTGGTTTGTCAAGGATGCCGGGGTTCCAGAGAAGAGTCGGTTTGGCGCGGCGCCAGCCTGTTCACTGCGAATCGTGGAGGCTGGTAGACGATCACAGTTGGTGGAGAACATTCTGGAGCCGCTACAAACCCTCCCTCCCGAAACGCCCGGCGGCCGCAGCGAACATAACTCCGTTTCGAGAGGAATTTCGCCGGATGGAAAAGAATCCAGCTAGCTTCCCGATCCCGTCGTGATGAAATTATCGTGGTTTCAGAGACGAATCGTATAACAATGTTTGTGCTGGATGAAGCTGATGAGATGCTTTCGCGTGGTTTCAAGGATCAGATCTACGAGGTGTTCAAGACTTTACCGCAGGAGGTTCAGGTTTGTAGTTCATTGCAGACTTTTTACGTAGAGTTTGGTCCACTTTTGACAGCTGAAGCGAAGCTGTGAAAACTGTTGTTTAGGTTGTGCTGTTGTCGGCTACTATGCCTGCCGATGTACTTGATGTAACTAATCGTTTTATGAGAAATCCGATCCGTATTCTTGTGAAGAAAG